GCGTTTGGTGACTATGAAGCCCCTGGTGGACCCCCCCTGGGGCTCCCAAATGATGCCCCTGGCAGCGTTTTGTGACCATGAGGCTCTCAAGAGATACATGTTGGGGGCGCCAAACGGCAATTCTAGCTGAGACGTCCAACCAAAATCGGCGCGAACGGGCTCGTGAGATCAGCCAGGGTGGCTCCCCCTTGGGGCTCCCAAATGATGCCCCTGGCAGCGTTTTGTGACCATGAGGCTCTCAAGAGATACATGGTGGGGGCGCCAAACGGCAATTCTAGCTGAGACGTCCCACCAAAATCGGCGCGAACGGGCTCGTGAGATCAGCCAGGGTGGCTCCCCCTTGGGGCTCCCAAATGATGCCCCTGGCAGCGTTTTGTGACCATGAGGCTCTCAAGAGATACATGTTGGGGGCGCCAAACGGCAATTCTAGCTGAGACGTCCCACCAAAAACGGCGCGAACGGGCTCGTGAGATCAGCCAGGGTGGCTCCCCCTTGGGGCTCCCAAATGATGCCCCTGGCAGCGTTTTGCGACCATGAGGCTCTCAAGAGATACATGTTGGGGACGCCAAACGGCAATTCTAGCTGAGGCGTCCCACCAAAATCTGCGCGAACGGGCTCGTGAGATCAGCCAGGGTGGCTCCCCCTTGGGGCTCCCAAATGATGCCCCTGGCAGCGTTTTGTGACCATGAGGCTCTCAAGAGATACATGTTGGGGAGGCCAAACGGCAATTCTAGCTGAGGCGTCCCACAAAAATCGGCGCGAACGGGCTCGTGAGATCAGCCAGGGTGGCTCCCCCTTGGGGCTCCCAAATGATGCCCCTGGCAGCGTTTTGTGATCATGAGAGAGTGTGAGTGTGAGTGAATGTGACTGTGAGTGAGTCTGAGTGAGAGTGAGTCTCATCTTATCTTATCGAGTCCTATCTTATCTTACCTTTATTACCCTCTATCTTATCTTATCTTGAAATCTCTTATATGGTCTTATCTTATATCAACTCATCTTATCGCATCATGTCTTGTCTTATCTTATTACTCCATAGGCTGTCTGATCTTATCTATTATCCTACCTTGTCATATATCTTATCTTACCTTATCATATCTTGTGCTATCTTATCTTATCTTGTAGTATATTATCTTGTCTTGTCTTATCTGGTGATTATCATTGGGAGGAGGGAGGTGGGAGGCGGGAGGAAGAAGGAGGAGGAGGAGTGGGAGGCGTCAGAGTAATAACAAGAACCCCAATCCTTAGGATATGGGGAACAAGCACAAAACCTCTCCCGAACATAACGAACCGACGAAGAGTACCCCAAAGTACCCGAGACACTCCCAACCAATAGCACGAGAAGGACCCCAATAATGCTCAAACATGGTAACAAATGCTGGAAACATCGTCCCCAGACTACTTCTGGACCGTTTCTGAATATATCCCTCCTGTCGAAGGACAGGCCCGACCTCAGGCCAGCTCTCCGCGCCCTGCCACCTGCTCGGACGCCCCTCCCCGTGCCTCTTCTTCCTGAGGCCTCGTGCTTCTTTCGGCGGTGGACAGACTTCCCTTTAATAATTAAACCTCCCCTTAGTGAAAACGGCCTGGGACCGAAACCGACGGACATGGACCCGCAAGAATGACAGCCGCGACGTCCCCTCGCGAACCGAAAACAGCCACTTCCTCAATCGACGTGTCAGGGTAGGAGGTCTGTCCAACTAAAATTCTTCTCGCGAGATGATCCAAGCCGCTCCTGGATTAGGAGAAAAAGCAAGCACCCAAACATTAACTTTCGGCGCGCCGCGCGGATTTTTTGCATTCGCGCTGGACCCCCTCCCTGGCGCGCGGAGCCCGCCAGGGGCGGCGCCGGAGGCGCCGCCAGGGGGGCCCAGCGCGGATCCAAGAAATCCGCGCGGAGCGCCAAATGTTTATGTTCATGTGCTTTTTTCTTCTTGGGTGGATGGTGCAGATTTTGGCGGCGATGGCCCCGCCGAGAAAAGTGCACACGTCCGAACGAGGTGTGGCGGCGATGGCCTCGCGCTCCTTCGGCCGCCCTCCCTGTCTCCTTCCATTTTCTCCCTCGGCTGCAACGGCATCCCCGTTGTCGGTGCTCTTCCGCCAGCGCAGGTACTCTGCCTAGCCGCCGACGCAAAAAGTGTTTTTTCCCAACCATCCTGTGGTGTTGGGTCCTCGTTTTGAAGAGACAGCGCCCCGCGTCCATCCCTCCTCCTCCCCCTCTCCCGCCCCCCTCTCCATCCTCCATTTCGCACCACCCCTAAACCACGTTTTCGTGGCCCCATAGGTGAAGCTTCCGCCGAAGGCCCCAGTGCTGCCGCCCGCACTTTTTTCTATTGCGTACAACCCCAAAACACCCAAGTACGAAGGCACACCCCTCACAAACGTTTCGTAGCCCCATAGGAGCTCCACCGAAGGCCCCAATACCCGCGCCCGCATGCGTCACGCACACCCAAGTCGGCACACCCCTCACACGATTCGTGGCTCCATAGGGAGCTCCACCGAAGGCCCCAGTGCCCGCGCCCGCATGCGTCACCCACACCCAAGTCGGCACACCCCTCACACGTTTCGTGGCTCCATAGGGAGCTCCACCGAAGGCCCCAGTGCCCGCGCCCGCATGCGTCACCCACACCCATTTCGGCACACCCCTCACACGTTTCGTGGCTCCATAGGGAGCTCCACCGAAGGCCCCAGTGCCCGCGCCCGCATGCGTCACCCACACCCATTCGGCACACCCCTCACACGTTTCGTGGCTCCATAGGGGCTCCGCCGAAGGCCCCAGTGCTGCCGCCCGCATGCGTCACGCACACCCAATTCGGCACACCCCTTACACGTTTCGTGGCCCCATAGGGAACTCTACCGAAGGCCCCAGTGCTGCCGCCCGCATGCGTCACCCACACCCAATTCGGCACACCCCTCACACGTTTCGTGGCCCCCTAGGAGCTCCGCCGAAGGCCCCAGTGCTGCCGGCCGCATGCGCCACGCACGCCCAATTCGGCACAACCCTCACACGTTTCGTGGCCCCATAGGGAGCTCCGCCGAAGGCCCCAGTGCTGCCGCCCGCATGCGCCCCGCACGCACATTTCGGCACACCCCTCACACGTTTTCGTGGCCCCCAACGGGGAGCTCAACCGAAGTGTACCGGTGGGTGTTCACGCATTGCGGCCAGCACATCATGTGGCACACCCCGCACAAGTTTCGTGCCCCAATAGGGAGCTCCACCGCAAGGCCCCAGGCTGCCGCAGCATGCGTCCCGCAAACCCATTCGGCAAACCCTCACGCGTTTCGTGGCCCCATTAGGGAGTCGCGACGAAGGTCCCAGTGGGTGCGCCCGCATGCGTGTCCCGCACACCCATTTCGGCATACCCTTCACACGTTTCGTGGCCCCATAGGGAGCTCCACCGAAAGCCCCAGTGGGTGTGCCCGCATGCGTCCCGCACATCCATTTCGGCACACCCCTCACGCGTTTCGTGACCCCTCACACGTTTCGTGGTCCCATAGGGAGCTCCACCGAAGGCCCCAGTGGGTGTGCCCGCATGCGTCCCGCACACCCATTTCGGCACACCCCTCGCACGTTTCGTGGCCCCGTAGGGGGCTCCACCGAAGGTCCCAGTGCTGCCGCCCGCATGCGTCCCGCACACCCATGTCGGCATACCCTTCACACGTTTCGTGGCCCCATAGGGAGCTCCACCGAAGGCCCCAGTGGGTGTGCCCGCATGCGTCCCGCACACCCATTTCGGCACACCTCTCACGCGTTTCGTGACCCCTGACACGTTTTGTGGTCCCACCGAAGGCCCCAGTGGGTGTGCCCGCATGCGTCCCGCACACCCGTTTCGGCACACCTCTCGTACGTTTCGTGGCCCCATAGGGAGCTCCACCGAAGGCCCCAGTGGGTGTGCCCGCATGCGTCCCGCACACCCATTTCGGCACACCCCTCACGCGTTTCGTGGCCCCTCACACGTTTTGTGGTCCCATAGGGAGCTCCACCGAAGGCCCCAGTGGGTGTGCCCGCATGCGTCCCGCACACCCATTTCGGCACACCCCTCGTACGTTTCGTGGCCCCGTAGGGGCTCCACCGAAGAAGATATTCACAATTGCGGTACTCACAATTGCATGTGGTTGGGTCCTTCGCCAAGATAATTCTCGCGAGATGCTTCAAGCCGCTCCTGGATGGTCCAAACTTTTGCGGCGATTGCCCCGCCGAGATAAATTCACGCGTCCGAGCGATGCCGAGGCACGAAGCGCTTTCGCCCAGCTTCAGACCCCCGGGACCGCCACATATCCATGCGGCACGAAACATGGCGCAGATCTATGGGGGTCTAGGGCTCTGGTGATGATTTTCGCGAGGCCGCAATTTGTTTGTAACATCGGATCTCAGGGAGAATCGACTGGGGAAACTAGCGGGCACTTTTCGTGTTGTCGGGCCTCCAGAAGCCTCCGGGGACCTCCAAGGGTCAAAATCTGGGGCGGCAGCAACACCTGCCACCCCTTTTTGCTCCTCCGCTTTCTCCTCCTCCTCCTCCTCCTCCTCCTCCTTCTCTGGCCTTCCCTGTGCGTACTCCCGCCGTGTCCATCTAGCTCATGCGCTAGGGGAGGAAAACAGCAGGGCGAGGAGGAGGAGGAGGAGGGGGAGGAGGAGGAGGAGGAGGAGGTTGAGGAGGTTGAGGAGGTTGAGGTTGAGGAGGAGGAGGAGGAGTTATGGAGGAGGAGAGGAGAGGAGGAGGAGGTTGAGGAAGGTGAAGAAGAGAGGAGGTTGAGAAGAGAGGTTGAGGAGGTTGAGGAGGTTGAGGAGGAGGAGGAGGAGGCGGAGGAGGAGGAGGAGGAGGAGGAGGAGGAGGTTGAGGAGGTTGAGGAGGCTGAGGAGGCGGAGGAGGCTGAGGAGGAGGAGGAGGAGGAGGAGGAGGAGGAGGTTGAGGAGGTTGAGGAGGTTGAGGAGGTTGAGGAGGTTGAGGAGGAGGAGGAGGGAGGAGGAGGAGGAGGAGGAGGCGGAGGCCCCCGCGCCCGTCCCTGGTGCTCTCCCGCGCCACGAAAGGGGCGAGCCAGACCAAGTCGTCCGTGCCGAGGGTCAGCTTCAGGAAAGCGGCGTACGCGGTCATGCCTATCAAGGGCTCCCAACTTCGCCCTTTGCGCTGCGCGAAGCGCGAAGTGCGAATCACTTCGCGCTCTCGCGCCGCCTCCAAAGGGAGAAGAGGAGGATGAGGAGGAATCGGAGCCGAGCCGCGAAGCGCGAATAACTTCGCACCCTCGAGGGCGCCCTTGCCTATGTGGTGCCAGAGCAGCGAGGGCGCCGCCATCCCACGGGATCCACGAGGGTCCTTGCAGCAGGCAGGGCCAGAAAAGTACAAGGGGTGCAGGCGCAGAGGGGACGCATGGGGAGCGGGCGTGTGGGGAGAGATAAAAGCTGACAAAAACCATCTGACGTCTCGATGCCGCACCCCGGCATCTGATTGCTGACTGCGTGTCGTTGATCTCGTCTCTGCCATTCGGCCGCCTCTGCGTTGTTATTGCCCCGCATCAAGAAGCCAATACCGTCCCAAAGCAAATGTTCTGCATGGTTTTAGCATTCTGGCCTGTTCGGTCGTTAGATCGTCTACGTCGGCCCAGTAGTCCCCCAAGATCGTTCCAAGATGCGCCCCGAGCCCACACGCGGTACCAAGACGGATCCGAAAGGGGGAACTCGAATGGGCCCCAAACGCCCCTTCTCCCTAAGATGGATGACTAGCCTGTGACCACAAGCCCCAAGCGCCCTCAAGAAGCCCTCTGGAGATCACCAAGGGGCCATGGAAGGCCTGACACGGATTACGGATCTGTGGATGTGGTGTGTGGGCGACAGATCTGTGGATCGGGGAAATACCCCCCGGAACATGAAGTCCAACCCGCCTTGGCGACCGAGCGCGTCGATGTGGCATGGAAGCGGGGCCCGTCGCTAACCCACGTGCCCCAATCCATGTTTGCGCTCCCCAAAACTATTGGAGGCCCCTTGAAGGGGCCTTCAGTAGTGCTGGTACTAGGCCCGAACGGCTCCCCCGAGATATCCCCAACGGCCTCCACTACGCCTGGAATCCATAATCCAAACGCTGGTGGCGGGAGGGGCCGAAGGCCATCCGGTGATGAACAATAAGAACAACAGCCGCATAATGATGAGTGCAAGGAAGAGAGAGAGAGAGAGAGAGACGGGCACGAACGGCAGACGCTGCATGAGGGCGACCAGGAGCAATCGCGGAAACAAGAGCATAAGCAGGAATCATCTCTAGCGTGGCGTCATGAACCGTATCAGACGAAGTGGAACAGGGCGATGACGACGATTGCTGTGGCGATGGTGAGCCGATCCATGGCTTTTCTGATCACCGTCGGGCCAAACTCTCGTGGCTCGGCGGCTCTCATGCTGAAAACTGTGCCAATTGCCTGATATCGTCGGGTTGTAGTTCCGCTGGTCGTGATGCTCGGTCCACCACTAATACCACCGTCGTCAATTTCGAAATACGGGCAAAGTCAGTATCCAAACGGGCCAGTCCTGTGACTGGAAAACCGTATCCTTGTAGCAACATGCGCCAGAATTGTCTTCGCTGACAGACGGGTCCTGACCGACCCTTTCTGACCTTCTCGGATAAACATGGACCGACCTGTTGACCTTGACGAACTTGGCCGATTGTCTGAACCAACTCTAGAGGTGAACATATCCCGTCGTGCTTAGTCGTTGCCCCCATCTGCTAAACGTTTTGCACATGAGGATCTTGCATCGGCTTTGGGCGTTGCGTTTCCAATCATGTTTGATCGTACGGTAAATCAGCACCGCCTTTGTGGCCAGACGGGCTCCGACAAAGCCCTCTGGCTCTGACTCTTCTGAGACGGCGACTTCGCGCCACGCTCGACATCGGTCACACGATCGTTGCCGATCTGTCTGGACAACTTGGTCAGCTGTTCACCCCCCTCGGTGTGGATTCCCACGTCTCCGACTGGTGCGGCCCCATCAGAGCTCGGCCCCATGCTGGTGCAGCTCCTCGGCAACCACCTCTGGCCATCGCTCGGACGTCCAATTCCTGTGTTTTTTTCGGTCTCGTGCGTGTTTTTTTCGCGACATGATCCTCCTCCTCCTCCTCCTCCTCCTCCTCCTCCTCCTCCTCGATGGTCCTCGCCAAATGAGACATGCACACGTCCGAGCGATGCCGAAGCCTCTCTTTCCAGGCGTCCCTCTGGATCGCCACAGTCTCCGCGGGCGGGGCTCCCGCATGCGAGGCCTGGGAGGGACTCGCCCGCCCTGGGCCACGGCGGAAGATTGTGGCTCACCCCAGCAACTCCAGCCTCCTCCTCTTCCTCCTCCTCCTCCATCTCCTCCTCCTCCTCCTCCTCCTGAAGGTGCGTTTGCGGTTGAGTATCCAATTTACTGCTTGCCCTCGTTTTTGCTCGGCAGCCTTGGTGCATCCCAACTCTTGCAGGGGCGAGTCTCGCAAAGGTCGAACCCAAAGTGTGTCTCAGGTTGTCTACTGGTTCTCTGAGTCGAAAACTATTCAACTGGGGCAATTTCGGCCCTCTGGTCTCAGGTTGTCTACTGGTTCTCTGAGTCGAGACTCTCAACTTGGGCAATTTCGGCCCTCTGGCGTCCAACCGTTCGCTGCTCACATTTTCTGCATGTGTGTTGGCTCTGCTCTCTCCCCCTCTTCACGAGGCGTCGGTGGTCACTGGCGCGCCGCCCACCTGGCGACCTCCTCTGGCGGTCGGTGAACTGCTTACAGAGCAATTTTTAATACATACGATTTTTTTAAATATAGGATTTAATGCATGACTAATTTATGAATACGTCTAGGCATGAACTCACCGTTGTTTTCTATACAAAACCCTGCATCTTCAATGCATGATCCGCACGCGGATCATGTATTAAAAACGGCACTGTAGGTTCTCCACTGACCTTTGGAGTACCCGTCAAGCGTGCTGGGATGTACACTGCCGGACTGTAGAGTAACGGAACGAGCGAGGTACGAAGCCCTGGTGGGGCGAAGCCCTCCAGGGAGGGGTCCAGGAGATGGGGCGAGGGCCGCACATGTCGTCGGTCATGGCCGTCTGGGGGACGTTCCCCTCGCAGTTTTTTCGAGTGAAGCGGCTCGCGAGCGCCTTCCACGGCCCGTTTCCTGCTATTTTTCCGAATGAAGCGGCCCAAAGGCCCCAAGACGGCCCAAGAATGTACCAAAACGACCCAAAGACGGCCCCAAGAGAGCTTCGGATGGCCTCCAGACGGTCCAAGAGAGCCTCGAGACGGCTCCAGAAACCCTCTAGAGGGTCCTCGAGAGGGCTCCAGGAGCACCAAAACATTGATATCCCTTAGGTTTTTCTATACGTTGCTCGGGTTCTCGCCTTTTCGGGCCCATACGGGCCCAACACGGCCCATGAAGTCTCAAAGCTCGTCCCAAGACGGCCCCAGAGGCCCCCCAAAGAGGCGGAAAACGGTCCAAGAGGGCCTGCAGACGGCCCAAGAGGGCCCCCAAACAGCCCCAGAAAGGCCCAAGACGCCTCCAAGAGAGCCCCAAGACAGCCCCAAGAGGCCCCCAAGAGAGCCCCAAGACGGCCAAAGGCTTCCAAGACGCCCCTAGACGGCCCAAAAGGGCCCCAAGACGGCTCAGAATTGGCCCAAAAGGGCTCCCGAGGGGCTACAAAATGGCCCCAAGAAAACCCCGACAAGGCCCACCCAAGAGATGCTTAAGAACACCATGGCTCCCCTCAGCGAGCGGTGACGTAACAAGCTCTTGACACCAAGGCTCCCCAGAGCGCGGTGACGTACAAAGCTCGTCACACCGACGCTCCCAAGAGCGAGCGGCTACGTAACAATCTCTGAGCACCAGGGCTCCCAACGGAGAGCAGCGACGTAACAAGCTCTTCACACCAAAGCTCCCAAGAACGAAGGGTGCCATGAACCCTCTCGGGTCTATTCCTGCGGCGCTCTTTCCGTTTCTGTGCCGGCCCAAGTGACGACTTGCACTTGCGTCAGGAAAGCTGCTTAAATGTTTCCCTTCTGCGACGCGAACTTTGCTCCCTTCGTGTCTCACGCCTCGGTGCCGAGAGAAACAACATTGATGCGCTGCCTGCGCTGGTTGGCGGTTGAGGGGGTGAGACCGACATGAAACGAAGGCCCCACAGGTTTCGGTCACGGTTCGCGCTGTGCGCGCGAAGCGAAGCTGCGCGAGTGCGAGGACTATCCTGCCCTGCCCAAGCCAACATCGAACAAAAAACATCGCGTTCACCCATGGTATGGCCAAAATTGTCGTCCGGCTGTCCCGTGCTTGTCCCGCAGTTATCCCGTGGCGTGCCCGTAATTGTCTCGCTGTTGTCCCGAGGTTGTCCCGTGCGTGGTTGTCCTGTGGTTGTTCTGCGGTTGTCCTGCGGTGCTCCCGTCTGTAGATAGATTGATAGATAGTGAAACTGGTCGATATATAGTGGCACCGGCAACATTTATTTTGATGCGGGCAATGGACTGATGGATTGTGAGGCCGATGGTTAGTGAGCCGATTGTTGCATTGATAATGGGATTGGCGGATCGATAATGTTAGTGCGGCTGATATAAAGCAATATTGTTGTATCGGAATCGAAGTCGTTATTTATTTGTATACATGTGTATGTATGTATGTATGTATGTATGTATGTATGTATGTATGTATGTGTGTATGAATATGTGTACGCAGATTGCGAGTCCGACCCGACGCCAATCGCACACCGAAAGCTGCACCCCCCGCCCGCAACCTCCTTGTCACCCAAAGGGTGGTTCTGTAGGAATGTCGCAATTTCTTGACGCCGCCGCCACGCGTGGCACCTCTGGCAACTTCGTCGGTGACATCATTTTGTCGCATTGATGCGGCTGCGAATTCGGGATCTCCTCATGCGACGGTTTAACATTCGTTGTCGTCGTTGCAATATGGTCTATTTCACGTGCCGCCTTTCGACATTTCGAACGCGCAGCATGCAAAACGGCATGACTTTCATTGCCGCCCTCGATCACAATCCGTGCATTATTTGTACCGCACGACAGCGTCACCTGTGCATCTCGGACGCATCTCGCAATTGAGTGCTTGTTCAAAGCCACCTCGAACTTCGACACAGATGTCGACAACCTTGTCGACAAATCTTTCAGGGTCCTCTGCGAAGGACACGTGCCTGAATATTTCAAGACATAGCCGCTCCAAAGTACTCGGGAACATATAGTGGACGTGCCACTTGAAACATGTATTTGGTGAGCTGCTCGCACTCGCTAATGTTAACCGAACCGTTTCTCTGTACTCGCTTTGTTGATCTATAGCGGCCGTCAATGAGATCTCGCGGTGCCAGTTTTTTTTCTTCTTTTTTTCCATATTAAAAAAATGCCCCACTATTTCGTTCACAATCGCGAGCTGTTGTACTTTTCATTGGTTTGACTGTGGCTGCTTATGCTGCCCTGACGGTGTGCTCTGGAGCTTCATGTTGCAAGGGTGCCATGGTTCGGGCCATAAGCAAAGACCGCTCTGCTGGTGTTCTCACATTCCGAGTGCTCGTTGTCGCAATTTGGAAGGT